ATCCAATACTTCTCTACTTGCACAACAGTGAAAAGCAATATGTTGTGTGGCTCGGCAAATCATTTTCTCAATGACTGAGTTTGTCTGGACGAACGCTCTCACATAACAAATTAATCTGTGTACCCTTTGCTAGGCTATCATACAACAAATAATAGCTACTCCTTGCAGAATATTAATTCTCTGTAGCGCAGACTTTTTCTCCATTCGAACTCTTCAATATTTCGTTGGTATTACATTCTTCAAAAAGGGCGCATGGATGCCCTTGTCAAAAACAAAAATAAGTGACATTTACGACATAGAAAAATGTTTAATGAATCCGCGCGAGTATCCAGGAGACGGTTTATAGGCGGAAGTCTTTTACTATAGCAGTCTAAAGCAGCCGTTCTGGAAGTAGGCTATTTTCATCCTTAAAATACCTAAATTTTTGTGATAATCTCAGATTTTTGCTTACAGAGAATGCTGAGAGTTATAAACGGCAAGCTTGCGCTCTTTCTTTGTTTTCTTCAGGTGAGCTTTCTCATATTTCTTACTTTGGTACTTATAAGCTATCTCATTTAGGTCCACACAATCTTTGCTTGCACTTTTCTCAACGTGGGAGACTTTAATGCCACGATCATTTATGAGATTAATCCAGAAAATGAGGATTCCTGTCTAATTGCTTGTTTTGAAGATCCGATTTGCAAATTTGTGAAATACTCTGAGGTAGAGCACTAATTTTCTTTTTTATTCTTCAAATCTTTGCTGCTCAGAATCTGTGCACACTTTACAAGGAAGGATCCGAATTACAAGCAAAAGATGGAAAAGTATTCGAGCTGAAGCGACAACTGATCACAGAGTCATGCTCACGAGAAGTGCTTTTGGAACCAGTTATAGAAGATAATGGAGAGCCAGAGTCTGAAGAACAACCCGAACAAAAGCCTTGCAGAGGATGGCAGGATTGTTGACCAATCTCAACCCAAATCCTTTTTCCTTTCGTTCTCATTTGAAATGGAGAGCTGATGCAAATAAATTATGCCTTTCTCATTGAATATGTTAAGCAAAACGCAACTTTGGCGGCAAATCAGCGAAGGAAAATGATAAACAAGCTAATATACCACATTAAAACAACCGATTGATCAGGTCAGACACCTTCTCAACCGATGTACTATGAACAAAAGTTTACTTATTTGTCAGTTATATATCCCTGTCTGTTTCTTAGGAGTGTAACAGAAAGTCTAAGGGAAGGACCAAAATAGCTCAATCAGCATGTCCACCTCCCCTGTGCCAACTCCTAGCTCCGTAGCTCAAACTTTGCA